CTAAGACTATAGAGTAAGATGTCTTAAATTTTTAATTGGGCCAGGTATAGTGATGCATGCCTTTAATTCCAGCACTTGGGAGGCAGAGGCAGACTGATCTCTGTGAGATCAAAGCCAACCTGTTCTACATAGCAAGTCCCAGGCCACTTGGGGCTACAGGAAGACCCTATCTCAAAAAAAAAAAAATTCTTGGAGGGCTGGAGAGATGCCTCAGCAGTTAAGAGCACTGACTGTTCTTGCAGTGGATCTGGATTCGGTTCCCAACACCTACATGGTAGCTAACAACGGGCTATAACTCAAGTTCCAGGGGATCTGACATCCTCTTCTAGCCTCTGTGGGCAAGAAAAACATTCATACTCATAAAATAAAAAATAAAAATTAATTGGGCCAGGCATGGTGGTTCATGCCTTTAATCCCAGCACTCAGGAGGTAGAGGCAGAGAAATCTCTGTGAGTTTGAGGCCAACCTGGTCTACAAAGAAAGTTCCAGGTCTCTTTCAGGACCCAGGATTGGTTCCCAGCATTCACATGGCAAGTCACAACCATCAGTACTCCAGTTCCAGGAGATCGGATGTCCTCTTCTGGCCTCCATAGGCACTGCATGCATATGATGCACTTATATACATGCAGGCAAAACACTCATATATCTAAAATAAAAATAAATATTTTTTAAAATTTTACATATGCCAGACAAATTATGGATTTATGGATAAGATGGTGAGTGATTTTTTTTTTTTTTGAGACAGGGTCTCTCTGTAGCCCCAGCTGGCCTGGAACTCCCTGTGTAGACCAGCTGGTCTTGAACTCACAGAGATTCACCTATCTCTGCCTCCCAGGACAGTGATTTTTTTTTAATGGTACCTTCATATCTTTATTTGCTTTTTTCTTGTATTTATTTATTTACTTAGTCTGTTTGGATGAATGGGTATGTACATGCAAGTATGTGGAGCTCAGAGTACAACTTAAGGGGAGTCAGTTATCTCCTTCTATCTTGTGAACCCTGGGTATTGAACTCGGGTCATCAGCCTGGGCAGCAAGCATCTTTACCAACTGAGCCATCTCTCCAATCTCTGAGTGACTTTTATTTATTTGTGTTTTCAATTCATCTGTAAGTAATATATTATTCTGGGTAATCAAAAAGAAAATTCAATAAAAGTAGTAAGAAAATCATCACTATAGGTAGGCTGGGGATATAGCTCAGTTGGTAAAGTACTTGCCTAGCACAAACAAGGCTGAGTTTGATCCCCAGTACTGCATAAAACCAGATATGGTTGCACATGGCTATAATCCCAACACTTGGAAGTTAGAGTCAGGAGGATTAGAAGTTCAAGGCCAGCCTGAGATTTTGTGTTAAAAAAAAAAAAAGTGAAAGGGGCTGAGCAAATGGGGTATTTCTTGACAGTGTTAGGGAAAGTGTTCAGGAGCCATTTTTATTTTTACTTTTTGGGTTTTTTTTTTTTGAGACAAGGTCTCACTCTGTAGCCCAGGCTGGCCTCAAACTCAAGGGGGTTCTCTTTGCCTCAGCCTCCCAAGTGCTGGAATTAAAGTCACATCACCATGCCCCAGCGAGGAGCAATTCTTTTTCAAATAAAGATGATGATGACTGGTTCACCTTTTATGTTCGAAGAACTTAGCTGATGCTAAGTTTTGCAACATTACTTGCTGAGTCAACAAGAACCCCTCAAGACAAACTGTACTGAACAGAAACATGGGTAAATATCTTTACTGTTACTAGAAACAAATTTCAAAAGGATGTCAAATTGCAAATTGTAAACAAAGTCATTTCCCCAAGTGAGTCCTTGGGAATATATTTTGTGTATTGCCCTTCTGGAAGATACATACTGGAAATGTGAATACTTGGAGCAATTCTCTGAACATTCACAAACATAGTAAATACTTGGAGCAATTCTATGAACAGTCACACACACCAGTACATACTAAAAGAAAAAAACTGGGTACTGGAGTGATGATTCAGCAGTTAAGGACACTGGCTGCTCTTGCAGAGGACCTGGGTTCAGTTCCCAACACCACATGGTAGCTAAATCATCCTTAACTCCAGTTCCAGGGAATCTGACACCCTCTTCTGGCCTCCACAGGCATTGCAGGACAAGTATGCATCTACTTACAGGCAAGGAAAACACTCATACATGTAGAATAAAAATAAATAGGTCAAAAAAATTATTTTTAAGGAAAAGTCAAACATCAAACTGAAGAGAATATATCAGCAACTTCATGGAGTGCATCCTGGTCCTGGCCTGGAACTCTCTGTATGGACCAGGCTGACCTAGATCTCACAAAAATCCATCTGCCTCTGCCTCCTGAGTCCTGGGTTTAAGGAGTGTGCCACCATACCCAGCCACACTCACATTTAGTATAGCAGTAACTGAAGTCTGGGCATTATGATTAATATCTTCTGGGAAAATTGATAATCTGACATACAGGACCTTATCTAGCACATTTTGTTTTCTATGAGTATCAGAAGCATTTACCAAAGTGTGGAAGAAGCAGGCCTAGGACTCCAATCTGAGAAACAATTTTGCCTTGCAAGGAAGGTCTGAGTCACTTTGAAGGCTGATCTCTGAGACTCTTGTGACGTGTTTGAACTTAACTTGGTTTGCCACACCCCTCACTCATCAAGGCAGACTTGTAAATCAGGAGACGCAGCCTGGCGTTCACCTGCAGGGCAAGGTGACAGTGCCACCTACCAGGTGTTTCTATAAGAAGTGGCATGGTGTCTACTGTGGTCCCAAGAGCATACCTAGTTGATGTGTCTGATAGAAGTTCCAGAAAAGAGCCGGGCATGGTGGCACATGCCTGTAGTCCCAGCACTTGGGAGGCAGAGGCAGGTGGATCTCTGAGTTCAAGGCCAGCCTGGTCTACATAGTGAGTTCCAGGACAGCTGGGGCTACAGGGAGACCTTGCTTCAAAAAGATGAAAAAAAAAAAAAAAGTACCAGAAAAGCTGTGGTCAGGGCTCTGTCTGGAACTTTGCACTTAGAAGACCATCTTACACCCTAACATTGGTGGCAAGTAGGAAGAAAATGCCAGCATTGGACTGCTGTAGCTGAAATTTAGTGGATGTAAAGGTTTCTCAGTTAAAGAGAATTACCTCACTAATACAACATACTACAGAACACATGCACGAGAAGAGGCGTCTGTGACTCTCAAAACAGCTAATCTTGTCAGTTTTTTAAAATATTTTATTTATTATTTTACATGTACAAGTGTATTGCCTATATGTATGTGAGTGCACCCATGTCATACAATGCCACAGAGGTCAGAAGAGGGCTTCAGATTCCCCTGGAACTGGAGTTAGGACGTGTCTTAGTTTGTTCTTCATTGCTGTGACAAAACACTCTGACCAGTACCAACTTGGGGAGGAAAGTTCTCCCAGGTCGCACGCAGTTCATCAGGGAGCCCAAGGTAGGAACTCAGGGCAGGAACTTGGAGGCAGGAGCTGGAGCACAGGCCATGGAGGAATGCTGCTTACAGGCTTGCTCCCTTGGCTCCTGCTCAGCCTGCTTTCTTATGCAACACAGGCCCACCTGCCCAGGGGTGGCACCACCCACAGTGGGCTGGGCCCTCCCACATCACTCATCAAGAAGATGCCCTTCAGACATGGCCCTTGAACCCAGGTGTGTCAAGTTGACACTAAAGCTATCCAGCACAGGATAGTTCATAGTCACCATGTGGGTGCTGGGAATCAAACCCAGGTCTTCTGCAAGAGCAGCCAGTGCTCTTAACCACTGAGCCGACTCTCCAGCCCCAAGTTGGCAGTTTTTAATCAAGACTGAGCCATATTAGAGAGTGCAAAGAAAACTGAAATACTGTTCTGTGTGCCAAACATTTCACATGAATATTAGGATTTCCAGAGAGTGACCAAAGAATTCAGAAATGTTTAAAAAGAAAAACAAACAAACAAAAAACCCTCTGACACACTGGTTAGGCCAGTACTCAGAACCTTGTAATCTCATGTCCAATAATCACTTTTAAGTTCCCTATTGCTCTCTCATGTGCCACTAGCAATAGTGAAAAGAGATACATTCCTTAGTAAGATCATTTTAGAGGTGCCCTCAATTTCTGTGTGTATGAGTGTGTATGTGTGTGTGTGTGTGTGTGTGTGTGTGTGTGTGTGTGTGTGTATGTTTTGTGAGTGAGGTATGGACATGCTTGTGAAAATATAGAACAACTTTCCCAGAGTCACTTCTCTCCTTCCATCTTGTTAAGGGACAGTCTGTCTTGTGCTACTGGGATTACAAATACTACTAGCCATTAGAGACCACTGATTTACATTGGAAATGTAGTTGGAAACACTGCCTTACCAAAACTCTGATGAAAACATGCATGACTATGCAAAATGGCACCTCTGGTCAAGAATGACTGTGTGGTGAAAACTGCATAAGCATGTGTTGAGGCAAAGGACTGCTTCCCACCCCCCAAATTATACAAGGAAATAACACTCAGACCACTGGTCACAATGCCCTGTTATGCTTAGCTAGTTTTCATTGTAGTAAACAGATTCTTTACTTTAAAAAACATACCTAGAAGTCTTGAGGATGTTTTCTCAGGACTGACTGCACTAAATAAAAGTCACACTGTTTGCCCTGCCTACACAATATTAAAGCAGTGAATATATAGTGAAACAGGAGCTTGGGGCCTCTGTTCTCAGTAGAGAGCCTCCTAGTTCCCCCACTCTTGAGATTTGAATTAAGTGTTTTGTCTTTCCTTTGTGATCCACTGTCCCTCTTCAAAGGTTCTTTGAACCCCTGCCATATTGGATGTAGCAAATAACTACCACATCTTTTTTTTTTTTTTTTTTTTTTTTTTTTTTTTTTTTTGTCTTTTTTGAGACAGGGTCTTCCTGTAGCCCCAGCTGTCCTGGAACTCACTATGTAGACCAGGCTGGCCTCAAACTCACAAAGATCCACCTGCCTCTGCCTCCCAAGTGCTGAGATTACACCCAGCCTCACATCTTTTTTTTTTTTTTTTAATGTGGTTTTAGGAATCAAACTCAGATCATCAGGCTTGCACAGTAGGTAAGCCATCTCATGTTTTTGATGCATTATCTCATCTCAAGTTTTTGATGCATTATACCTTTTCCTTTAGCAATGCTTTTTCTTTTTAATTAAAAAAAATTTACTTTATGTAAAACTTTAATTTTTAGTTTATTTTTGCATCCATGTATGTATGTGCATCATGTGTATGCAGAGCCCTCAGAGGCCAGAAGAGAGTAGAGTTGTAGATGGTTGTAAGCCACCATATGGATTCTGGGAACCAAACCTGGATCCTCTGAAAGAGCAGCAAATGTTCTTAACTGCTTAGCCATCTCTCCAGCCCCACAAACTAATTTCAGTCCTGGGGAAGATGGTCCAGAAATACAGATGACCTCAAAAATACATATACATGGATATTCATTAAAACCTTACTGGGCTGGAGAGATGGCTTGGTGGTTGAGAACACTGGTTGTTCTTGCAGAAGACCTGGGTTCGAATCCCAGCACCCACATGGTAGCTAACAACTGTCTGTAACTCCAGTCTCAGGGGATCCGACAGCCTCTTTTGACCTCTGTGGGCATTGCACGACAGGGGTGCACTTACCTACATGCAGGCAAGGCATGAATACACATAAAATAAATAAAATTTAAAACCTTACTTGGGAGCTGGGCATGGTGGTGCATGCCTTTAGTCCCAGCACTTGGGAGGCAGATGCAGACAGATCTCTGTGAGTTCAAGGCCAGCCTGGTCTACATAGGACGGCTGGGGCTATAGAGATACCCTGTCTCAAAAAGACCCCCCACCCCAAGCATCCATAACTCCAGTGCCAGGGAAGTCCGACATCCTCTTCTGATCCCTGTGCACATTGCCCAACATGGGTGCACTTACATACATGCAGGCAATACACTCATACATAAAAAAATTAAAAACCAAAAAACCACCTTACTTGTCAGAGCTGGAGAGATGGCAGTTAAGAGCACTGGCTGCTCTTGCAGAAGATCTAGGTTCAGTTCCCAGCACCCACATGGTGACTAACAAACAACCACAATTCCAATTCCAGGGAATCCAACACCTTCTTCTGGCCTCCCTCCTCAAATATTGCATACACATGATACACTTACATACATGCAGGCAAAACATTGATAGCAGTCAGTGTAGTGCCCTTAACTGCCAAGCTGTCTCTCCAAGTCCTCCTCCAATATTTTTTAATTAAAAAAAAAAAAAAAACCTGGGAGGCAGAGGCAGGCGGATCTCTGTGAGCTCAAGGCGAGCTTGGTCTGCATAGTGAGTTTCAGGCCAGCTGGGGCTACGGGGAGATGCTGTCTCAAAAAGACCAAGAAACAAACAAACAAAAACCTTATTTGTCCATTATTGAGGAAGAAAATTTACCTAACATAGAGATATAACATATATACTACTACTTTATACACACACACATATACATATATATGTATGTATGTATATCCCACTACTATATATACTTGTTAAAAAAAAGAAGGCAGGGGCTGGAGAGATGGCTCAGCAGTTAAGAGCACTGACTGCTCTTGCAGAGGACCCAGGTTTGATTCCCAGCACCCACATGGCAGCTACAAACCATCCTTAACTCCAGTTCTAGGAGAATCTGAAGCCCTCTTCTAACTTCCAAGGCATTGCAAAACATGGGTGCACTCACATACATGCAGGTGATATACTCATACACATAAAATAAAAATAATAAATTTAAAAGAAGAAGGCACTAAGAATATCCATGACATAGTCTGGAGAGATGGAGAGTTTGAGTGCTCATTGCTCTTGCAAAGGACCCAAAGTCAGTTCCCAGCACTTACATCAGGTGGCTCCCAACTGCCTATAACTCTAGTTACAGGGGATTCAGCTTCCTATTCTGGCTTCCATGGGTACCTGCATGCATGTAGTACACATAAATTCATGCAGGCACACGTACACATAAATAAACAATAATCAGAATAAATAATAAAAAAGAATATCTATGATATGCCTGCTGGCATGGTCTCATGTAGCTCAGGCTGCCTTTAAACTCCTGATCTACCACCTCCTATTTTAGTTTTTGGTCTTGTTTTGTTTTTTTGAGACAGGTTCTCCCTTGTAGCCCCAGCTGGCCTGAAACTCACTGTGTAGACAAGACTCACCTCAATTTCACAGAGATCCACTTGCCTCTGTTGGAATTGAAGGCCTGTGCCACTGTGCCCAGCTTCAGTTTTTAAAAAACCAAAAAAAAAACCTGTATATGTATTGTGTTTACAGTAAACATGTAGCAGTTTTGTAGTAACTTCTAAAAGTACCCAAGTTATTACCTTAAAATATGTTTGAGGGTGGGGGGATTGTTGCTACAGAGATGACTCAGTAGCTAAGAGAATGTACTGCTCCTCCAGAGGACCAAAGTTCGATCCTGGCCCCCACATCTGGCCAACTCACAACTACCTGTAACTCCAGTTCCAAAGGAATCCAATGCCCTCTTGTGGCCTCCTCGAGCACCAAGCAAACACAGGGTGCCCATACAGACATGCAGGCAAACACTCATACACATAAAATAAAAATAAATCTCAAGAAAAACAACTTGGTGAAACATTAAATATTTTCATTAGAACTTAGCCCTAGGTGATAGGTGAGTCTCTCTTGAAGAATCCCACACCCATGCCTTTATTTTCTTCCAGAGTACCTCCTTTTTTCTCAACACCCTTGTGTAAAATCTATATTAAAATATCTTTTTTTCTTTTTTTGGTCTTTTTGAGACAGGGTCTCCCTGTAGCCACAGCTGGCCTGGATTCACTATGAAGATCAGGCTGGCCTTGAACTCACAGAGAATCACCTGCCTCTGCCTCCCAAGTGCTGGGACTACTCATAGCACTTGGGAGGCAGAAAAACGAGGATCAGGAGTTCAAGGGCATCTTCTGCTTCATAGCTAGTCAGAAACCAATCTAGGCTATGTGAGATCCTGCCTCAAATCAATAAAATAAAATAAAATAATAAAATGCAAGCTTTTGAGCAAAAATGAAGATTTGGGAATTTCTATCCACTATTGTTAGTGAATACATTCCTAAAACCTAGACTTTCTGGTGGCTTAGGTAATGCTATTAATAAATGTGGCCTTTGGAAGCTGGAGAGATGACTCAGCTGGTTAAGAGGACTGGCTGCTCTTGCAGAGGACCTGAGTTCGGTTTCCAGCACCCACTTGGTAGCTAACCACAATCCTTAACTCCAGTTCCAAGGAACCCGATGGCTTCTTCTGACCTCCATGGGCACTGCATGACATAGGCACACTTACATATATGCAGGCAATACATTCATACACATAAAAAATTTTTAAATAATAATAAAATATTTCTAAAAATTAATGTGACCGTTGATATTATATTAAAAATGTGTCAGGCCAGCAAGTTGGCTCAACAGATAAAGGCACTTGCTGACAAGCCTAATGACCTAAGTTTGGTCCCTGGGACCCATATGGTGATAAGAAATAACTCCTCCAAGTTGTCCACACCATGGCAAGTACTCACCCTACCCAATAAATGAATAAATGTAATAAAAAAAAATTTTAGGAACTGGGGAGATAACTCAGTGGTTAAAGAACTTGCTCCAGAAGCATGAGGACCAGAGTTCAGATCACCAGAATCCATATGAATGCCAAGTGGGTATGGTAGCCTGCTGTAATTCAAACCTTGGAGGGCAGAAACAGGATCCCCAGGCCAAGCTGGCTAGCCAAACTAGCCATTTCAGTGAGCTCTGGGTTTGACTGAGAGACCCTGCATCAACTGTGGGCCTCCACATGCCCACAAGTGTACATGTACCCACATAAATACAAAACATGCATACACACATACATGCACAACACACACACATGAAAAGAAAAACAAATTTAAGTTGCTTGATGTGTCCATGACATGGTGACTCACAACTATCATCCTAAAATTTAGCACTTAGGAAACCAAGGCAGGAGAATTGCCTCCAATTCCCAGAAAGCCTGAGCAACAGTGTAAGATCCAACTAGAAAAAAAAAATGGTGTGTCACTATTTGAAAGATCTACATAATTCATTCAGCCAGTATTTTCCAACTATCAATGCGTATTATAAAATCATGCACAAGGGAGATGGCTCATTAGGCAAACTGCTTGCCAGGGCCTGAGTTTAGATTCCCCAGTACCTACATAGAAACTCAGGCATGGTGGCCCATAATCGCAGCACTGGAAAGACAGACAGAAGGGATTCCTGGGGTTTGCTGGCCACCCAGTCTAGCCAAATCAGTGAGCTCAAAGTTCACAGAAAGAAGCTGTCTCAAAAAACAAGAGGGGGTGGTGTGGTGGAGTTTGTCTTCAATCCTAGCATGCAGGAGGCAGAGGCAGTTGGATCTCTGAGATAGAGACCAGCTTGGTCTATATAGTGAGTTCCAGGTTAGCATGGGCTACAGGGAGGCCCTGTTTTTAATTAATTAATTAATTAATTAATTAAATGGTGGAGAGCAATTAAGAAAGATACCCAGCCTCAACCTCTGGCCTCCACATTCACATGCACTCATGTACATACATGAGCACATACATAAACATTTACACACACACAAATCGTGCATGAGGGGCTGGATAGATGGCTCAGCAGTTAAAAGCACTGACTGCTCTTGCAAAGGACCAGGGTCTGATTCCCAGCATCCACATGGTGGCTACAAACTGTCCTTAACTCCAGTTCCAGGGGAATCTGAAGCCCTCTTCTGACCTCCACAGCATTGCACAACATGGTTGTGCTCTTAACCACTGCATGCTACATACATGCAGGTAATACACTCATACACATAAAATAAAAATAATAAAATATTTTTTAAAAAGTCAAGAATGCTGGGCGTGGTAGCACGTGCCTTTAATCCCAGCACTCAGGAGGCAGAGGCAGGTGGATCTCTGTGAGTTCAAGGCCAGCCTGGTCCACATAGTGAATTCCAGGACAGCTGGGGCTACAGGGAGACCCTGTCTCAAAAAGACAAAAAATAATAATAATAATAAAAAATAAAAAAATAAGTCAAGATTTCTGTTCACATTCTT